ACATGGTTTTTGAAAAGTCACGCCCGATATGAGAGTACATAAAAACTGGTGAATGATAACATTATGAATGTTGCCCTCTGACCAGTTGTGAGTGTTGAGTTCATAAACTTCCAACCAGTCCCACATAGATCTTTTAATACCTCTGATTAGCCCAAAGAATGACCAGTATAGAATAAATTAATTCACCTGAAAATTATGGTTATATTGAACATTTGTGTACAATTCTAATTGTTACATATTCCTTGTAGGCTTATAAGAAATGTTCTTCTGAAAAACAAGCACAGACCTTGCTACAAGACATTTTGGTGAGTATTCATAATTATATGTTGTCAACTACTCCATTACCCATCGCTCATATTTTTCATTAACATGTCTTTGTGTATGATTATAAAATACATAATATTTTATTATTAAATCTTGGGTAAAAACTTTTAAAACTCAACTTATGTTTAGAAAAGCATTTGTAAGACAAAGTACTTACTATAAAACTTGTGAGTCAGCTACTTTAAATAATGAAAAGTGTCAGTAGTATTAGTGGTACAAGTTTTTGTTTCTGTAATTGTGTTGTAAGGGACTTCAGCTACTTTAAATAATGAAAAGTGTCAGTAGTATTAGTGGTACAAGTTTTTGTTTCTGTAATTGTGTTGTAAGGGACTTCAGCTACTTTAAATAATGAAAAGTGTCAGTAGTATTAGTGGTACAAGTTTTTGTTTCTGTAATTGTTTTGTAAGGGACTTCAAATACTTTAAATAATGGAAATTGTCAGTACTATTAGTAGTACTCCCTTCTTACATCTGGGTGTAAGTGGTGGAGGATATTGGGGTGTATGAAGGGGAGTTGAGTAACATTTTTCTCCTTCCAAAAATAAGGCTTGTGAGTAGAGGTTAAATCTGTTAGACAGTGTACATTCTTTACTTCCCACACTATAGTTTATATTTTAATTAGTTTTTGCTTTTGTTTATTAAACTATGAAAAGCCATCTTTGTTACTTTGTACCGTGTAATATATTTATTGCATTATTTATCTAATAAGAAATTTAATTTCTTTAAGTGAACATAACTCAGTCCATTATTAAATGTTATCTAAAATTATTGGGTGGACGTTACAATCAATCAACAACAACATTCAGGTACGTCGAGGAGTTGGTGCTCTGGAGAGATCTCGAAGAGTTGGCCCTGAATTATCAAGAAAAATCCACCTTGTATTCACAACAAAGAATCCTGAGGCTATTTTAAAGCACACCTGAGACAACTTGTGTATTAATTTTATATCAAACTAAAATAAATGTTTTTAAATGTTACTAATATTATGTCTTTACAGTATTTTAAGATATGTCAGGATCTTTTTTATTCTCAACATTTCCAACACAAGTCTTAAGGTCGAAACATTGAGAATAAAAAAATCCTGATGTAATCTACATGAATAAATACTTGTATATCTGAAAGTTCACGCATTAGAAAGCATTAGCCACATCTGGTAGCTCAATTACATTTTTACTGTTCAACTTATAAAAACTTGTAGCAAAACTTTTCTTTCTTTTAGAGTTCTGGTTTGTTCCCAAGGATATTTAATTAGTAATTTTGAAACAGCTTAATTAATACTTCTCATCCAGATCTAGTAATCAAACTTTATTTAACATCACAGTAAGATTATTTACACAACTTCCAAAAGGAACAGTTTCATATGGCACTTTTATTAAAAGGCAACAGATGGAAGCATCCAGTATTTTAAAAAGGTAACTGATTGTCTGATCCATAAACATAATTAATGGAGATGGATTAGTAAATTGGCACCTAAAATTCAAGCCGAGTTCCTAGATTTAGTAAATAACTGATAACGACTCACTGCTACTAGAAAAACGTTTTTAGGTAACAATAACTTCTGTACAACACTTATATACACACACTTTGGTCAGTACTTCCAAACCATTAACGTAAATGTGGACATTACACTGTAAACTTAAGTGCACTTCTGGACGTGGCTTGAACAGCTTCCTGAGGAAGACCTGAGTTACAATACAATTCAAACTTCAACTGCACTTGTTTCAAGTTTGTTCATTGTAAAGGATTTGTACAGTTACAACCCGTGTAACTCTAGCCTGGTTACCAATGCAACATCTGGAATATGTTGTAGCCCAACAACACTTAGTATACACTACACAGTGAATTAATGTGACAGATACAAGTATACTTCCCTATTTAACCCTCTCACATTTCTTTATCATAATTAAAAGATATCCAACCACATACTAAAATAATTTATCCTTCACATAAAAATACAATTATTAAATTTTTTCATCTAAAACATTTTTAATAACTAGTCCCTTTAAGCCTTCAATTTTATTAGAAAATAGCATTACTATGAATCTTGTTATCTGGGTCTCAGATTAAAAAATAATCCAATACTGAGAAGTAATACTAATCTTCAAGATACTTTGGTCTTTCCTTTAATCGATAGGCTGTACGAGGGCAAAAATCTTTCCTTCCCAGAGTGGTAAAACTTCATTCTCATCAGAAATTTCTTCATTAATAACACCAGTTCCAAACTCATTGCATTCTCTTTTGAAGAAATACCTGTGGAAAAATGAAGTCAGCACACAGGAGCACATACAAAACTCCAATAGTTCACTATTCTCATTCAGGAGAATAAAGGGTTATGATTATAATGAAAAATAAGATGCCACATCAAACCCAATGCTAAGAATCAAATAAGCAGTAGAAAAGTGTTTGTGAAATTTTCAAGGAAATTACTGGTCTTGTAGAGCACTTAAAGAAATAACTATATACATACTTTTGATCTGTATAAAGCTCTTGTAACACTTATTTTACCAAATTCTTTGTCACAAGCCCTGAGCAACAACATTTCACCATAGCTAATAAAGTAGAACCCCAGGAGTGTTGTAAACCAAGTTCCTCCTTAAATATCTAAACTAGTACCCCAGGAGTATTGTAAACCAAGTTCTTCCTTAAATATCTAAACTAGTACCCCAGGAGTGTTGTAAACCAAGTTCCTCCTTAAATATCTAAACTAGTACCCCAGGAGTGTTATAAACTAAGTTCCTCCTTAAATATCTATAGTAGTAGCCAAGGAGCATTGTAATCCAAGTTCTTCCTTAAAAATCTAAACTAGTACCCTAGGAATGTTGTAAACTAAGTTCCTCCTTAAATATCTAAACTAGTACCCAAGGAGTGTTGTAAACCAAGTTCTTCCTTAAATATCTAAACTAGTACCCCAGGAGTGTTGTAAACTAAGTTCTTCTTTAAATATCTAAACTAGTACCCCAGGAGTGTTGTAAACTAAGTTCTTCTTTAAATATCTATAGTAGTACCCAGGGGGTGTTGTAAACTAAGTTCCTCCCTAAATATCTAAACTAGTACCCCAGGAGTGTTGTAAACTAAGTTCCTCCCTAAATATCTAAACTAGTACCCCAGGAGTATTGTAAACCAAGTTCTTCCTTAAATATCTAAACTAGTACCCCAGGAGTGTTGTAAACTAAGTTCCTCCTTAAATATCTATAGTAGTACCCAAGGAGTGTTGTAAACTAAGTTTCTTATTAATTCATATATCCGTAGACTATCTTGCCACTACATTGATACTAATTATTCTAATGCCTAAAGCTAATTGGTTATGACCGTAGTTACTCTGAGAATAAACTAAGTATTTTAGACATCAAAAGTATTGTTGTAATATGACTAAATTTAATAAACTATGTAAATTACAATTAAAAAAAGTAACCTTATAATCAATAGAGTATTTTTATGGAAAGTGATCAAAACACTATTTAGGAAAATCTGTCTACAGATAAACTTACCTATAGTTTCCTTTTTTACTGAGTAGAGATTTGAACTGTTTGAGAGTTATCTTCTTTCCAGGAAGTCTAGTACGGTAAGGCACTGATTCTCCTGCAAAACAGTAGCCAATAATTGTCACATCGCCTCCTGCAGTAACTGTGGACAAGGACTTCTTTCCTGGTTTCCTGCCACTATAGAAAAATCTCTGTCAGTGCTAAATAAAAATGAGACAGAGAAATACCAGTTAAAAGTTTTCTATTTTTAACCCATTGACTGCTGTACATATATGGTACAGTTCGCCTCCAGTAGTTGAATGCAAGTGTCCTGTAAACATTGTACGGCCCATGCGTATTAAAATCAGCCACAGTCAAAGGGTTAAGTAGAATTTTGTGCTTTTCACAAGAAGCAAGTGAAATAAAATGAGAAAAACAGAAGTTAAAAAGAAATCTGGAGGATGTTGGTTTGGCACAAATAAGTGCTAGTGGAAGGCCAAATATATAGAAAGCATGAAACATGACAATAGTTACATTTGTTATGTCATACAATCTTATCAAACATTCCCAGGAAATATCTAAAACCTCTAAATATAGTTTCTCAAGAAAGAAAAACTTTAACACTCCTGATAACCAACTTACTTTGGTTTTGCAGACTTTGAGCGAGAATCATCTTCAGGACGGCGCTTTGATTCAGAGTGTTGTATCGGTGGATCTAACAAAGGAACATCTTTAGCAGAAGATCTTGGATGAGGAATGTGTCCACCAGATAGGGGGAGAGGCCATGGTGAACTTCCCCCTCGCTCCAAGGATCCAGACCGAGAAGTGTTATACGCCAAAGGTTTTTTGGATTGGCTAGGGATGCAAACACAGACTATCAGACACTTGGAAAAATAGCAACTTGGGCATATACAAATTCAGACTATTATACACTTGGAAAATTAGCAACTTGAACATATACAAACTCATACTATTAT